GGGCTCATCCCACCAACTTTGGCCATTTCTGCAGTCGTTAATCTGGTCTGGGATCCATTTCGATGCTCCTCTTGACAGCCCTTTTTTATCCTCTCCGATGGACCAGGGTGACCCGGACGCTGCTCAATTGTTTCCTTGCCATGTTTCCTGAACTGCACGATGATTCTGTTGACTGTCGAAAGCGGGATTCCCAAATTCTGCGAAATTTGCCGCTGACTTCCACCATCTGCTTGACCAACTATCCTTCCTCTAACAAAATCTGACAATTCGAGAGAACCTTGAGTTCTAGGCATGCTGTAGCACAAGATAATTAGTGTGCGGACCATTTTCATTTATATAGTGCTCTGTGAACACAAATTAGTTAACATAAATCAGTTAAATGACGAAAAATTAGGTGTCTGTTTACTTGTGACCACTCAGTGTACAATGAGGTTGTTAGTATTTCGAATCGAAATTTAAAGCACAAAAAACAAAATACGTTCTGGGGCGAATATTTCACGTGGCACGAATTACCTGAGGATATACTAAGAAACAAGAGTTCAGTGAGGATAAGGATTCAAATGAAAGAGCTTTTCGAAAATAATATGGTTTTAATTTCAAAGGCGTCACATTAGGTTGTTTTATTTCAATTATTTTAATGATATTTTGATACAAATTATATAACTCATCATGACAAATAATTAATCAGGTATTTTCACATAATGTGTTCTGGTGACCAGTGCTAAAAGGTTTCATTTATAGTTTTTAATATTTGCATTAAACGTGAATAAACCGAAGGAAGAGAAGATATTTCAACCTGTGTTTTTCAAACTCGGTTAGTACTTCTAACAAAAACTGGTGTTACAGAACATATAAAAGTGGAAGAAAATTTGACATTCAACTGATAACTGATTAGAAAAAAAATAATAACTGGAAATTTACGTCATAATTATAGACAAAATGGTTACAAAGCAATATTCTATGTAATTTCATTTTGTTAGTTTCAAGATACATGAATTATAGACAATAGAATATTCTGTAAAATAAACACAGTTCAATTTCTTTAAGTGTGCAATTTCTTTACGACCAATGACTTGAGTCTTATACCACATCGATGATGGATATGTTCAGTCATAAGTTTCGCCCGTAATTTACGTCATTGTTGTACAATAGTATTGTCGTTCTTTTTTGCCATTATCTTACATAATGCGCAATTTATGCATGGTGCACGACCTTCCCGATCCATGCAAATAGCATTTAAATGATAATTTACATAAATTAATGCAGTTGTTAAATGCAGATTTTATTTAAAATTGAAGTTGCTATAAGTTAGATGTGGGCCATTTTATCCCATTGTTTTATCCAACCTTATAGGTAAAATGGTCCTCAACCATAAAAATTGCATTTTTTCAATATCTGAAAACCTATAACCAATTTTTGTTTTAACTAGAAATTACATTCATAAAAAAACAGGGTTCATTTTAAAACATTTTCTTTATATGACATTCATCTTAATTGTTAAAACCCACTTATAAAGTATTTTTTACCACATCTTCCCCTGTTTATTTTATAGTAAAGAATGATAAAAGTGTTCTTAGTACTATCAGTAAAATTACTACAGGATATTAATTTAATTGGACAATAAAATTATCCTGTTTTATAAAATCCTTTTTGTTATTAATAAAAAACACAATGTTTATGTATATATATATATATATTACTAGCTGAGTTACCCGGCGTTGCACGGTAAGAATTTAGATTTGAAATGTATAGATCGGTATTTTTTTCAGCAAATTATTCAGTAGACAAAAGCTGTGATGTGAGAAAT